CCCCTCCCTGCTTTTCCCTCCCCTTCTCGCAACTTGCAAAATCCAATTTCAAAAATTTTCGTAAAATCTTAAGCAGCTAAATTTCACTTGCAGACCTCGAAAATCTGAAGGAACTATTTAAGAGTGTGAAAAATATTATTTAGCAATACTCAACTCTTGTATTCTAAAATAAATACCATTTTTGCTGGTAATTTTCAGTGAGCCAAATCTGAAGAGCAACTATAATCCAAAAAAGAATGTTAAAAAGATCTCAAAAAGTCCGAAAACATTCGAAAACGATGCAAAACTTAGAAGTACTGATGGAAACACAAATATACCTGAGTTCGAAGTAAACAAAACTCTAGAACAAAACACAAAGAATGCAACAATGGCATGTGTACCAGCAATTGTTAGTTCTTTTTTTTTTCGTGAAATTCAAAAAAAAAAAAAAACCACGCAAACGACTGATAAGAATAAAATCTGAGGTAGCAAGAAAGACATCAATTTTAGGCAAAAATATTTTGCGCAGCTGATAATGGGCATAAAAGTGATAGATGGGGGAGGGGGTGCTGATGCAGTTTGCAAACCACATCCAGTATTGTCCAGCAGAATAGCTGGTCTAGCTAAATTTACCGCAGATTTTCCCCCACCCTCCTCCCCCAAAAAAAAAAAATTTCTTTTTTTTTGACTCACCGATGTGATCGTACAGAAAAGTTTTAAATATTACTAATGCATTTTCTACAGATTGAACATTTTGCAGAATTAAGCCAAACTGACAAAAAAACCCAGAGCTTTGCCCAAGTAGGGAAAAATGCGTCTACCGATTTTTTTTTTTTTGCGCTTTTCTAAATTATACGAGGATTGTCGATTGGTGATCGCGGCGTAGAGGAAAGTAGCGTTATGCCCTCTAAATATTGAGAATCTGATCCCACCAGCCCAAAACCAACATTCCAGGGATTCATTCCTTCGTTTGGTACTGGCATGTGCGGACAGCCCAGGATGAAATAGCAATTAAGCAACCTCACTGAGAGTCTCGTAACCGCTGAACGCTACTGATACGTACTATCGCTTGGGCTACTTCAGAGGGTCCTCCACTTCTTACATTCAGTGAATTAAGGAGAAAGATTTTGGCTCTGAATGAATGATCGAACCCGTCTCCAGTACTTTCAAACATCTGTACGCCGAAATTCAATGAACTCTGAATGCAGGCGAATCCAGGACGAACTCCTGCGGGAGAGGGAAACGGGACGAGGAGGAGAGCAACCTCCCACCCCGGAACTATGCAAAAACTAGGAACAGAGTTGTAACACTGCTACTTAGAGTTACTTAAGGCTTTAGTTTACTTTAGTTTTAGCTTTAGGCCCGGGCTTTTGCAGCACTGGTGCCTATGCTGCAAAGTGAAGAGAGAGGGCAGGGTGGGAGGGGGACGGGGGGTAACCCATCGCCGCCTATAACTTTGAAACTTATATGATTGTCTTGTTATTACTACCTCAAAAATTAATGGCTATGGAAAAAAACGGCGATAGTCAAAAGATGAGGTCAAACAGGCAATCTTGAAAATGTGATATGTTTGCTACACCATAAATGCGCTTGTTCTGAACTATCTGCTGAATGAACAGCGGAACTAAAATATTTCAGGATGAAGAAAACGAAGTGAATGATTCGGATTCCTTAGCAAGGAAGAAGCCACAAGTGCGGTAAGTTGTCAAGAAAATGAAGCGAAAAGTGTAAAAAATACAAATAACGCGTCGTGAGATCGAGAAATCACCGAGGGTTCCACTTACAGATTTGCTAAACGAGACGAAAAAGCACTGCCGGCAAAGACGCTCGAAGAAATGCAATGTTCCGATTTTTCAGATGCAGCAATGAAACCAGTACTATCATAATAAGCAAATTTACAAATTTTTTTTTAAAAATACGCAAAGTGGTTACTTTTGGTGGAAACAGAAAAATTTTAACAGAAAAATTTAAAAATATGCAAAAATTAAAAAGGCGGAATAGGCCAATTTCTCTGCTTCCTGGCCAATACGGAGTTACACTCTACCCAGATAACACAACATAACTAACATAGTTTCTTTTATTGCAGTTAACAGAGATTTTTTTGCGTCCTTCCGCAAAAAATCGCAGAAAAAAACCTCTCCGCAAATACAGGGGGGCATTCAGAAGCAGTCCCAGTTGTAGCAGCACTTGTCTGCTAGCAAAGCTATTGGCAGCTTTCTCTCCTAAAAGAGAAATTTTTCAAATATTTTCCAAGTTTCTTAAGGAAAAGTTGTTTTTAAGCATAAAAACAACTTTTTTTCCTCGAAGTACATAGTTTTTTGCGTATGTGCTTCTTAAATTTTTCTATTTGCACCAAAAGTAACAACTTTTGACCATGATTTTTAATATTAGCTAAGCTTTTTTTTGCTTTGCACCCCACTTAACATATTTTCCACTTCTCGATCCGAAATTCTTTTACTTTTTTTATAACGGGACAAAAATCTCGCCCTTATCATTTTCAAAAACAGTAAAATCGAAAATTTTCAACCAAAAAACGAGCAGAAGTACCGTTTACGGCTTTCCAAAAATTTTTAAAACAAAACTTTATTAGTTTTGGTTGACTTTTTCTAGAAAAAATCAATACTTCTATCACTTGGCTATGCTTTCAGACAAACGCCACATCAGGCACTTCAGTGGCCAAAACACTGGTAACAGCAGGTACACAAGAAATGTCCTCCAGTGTACCTCTATCAACAGCAACACCATCCAGAGAACAACTGCTGACCGCACGTTATGCAGCTTGATCAAACAGCTTCTCTCGGCTGACAAATTAACTTGCACGGAAAACAGTTTCTCGAGATGTGCGCAGAGGCAAAAACGTTACCAAACGATATCGCAAAAAGAACAAAAAAATGTTTGCTGCAAATTTGTCTACATTTCTGATTTCTGTATTTTTGCGAATTTTGAGCATAGCTTCGAGATTTTGCTTGAAATTCACCAAACCAGAAACAACACGCAAAATGCTATCCAGAATTTCGCGTATCATCTATTAATAAAATTATAATAAATGAAAGAGATACGAATGAAAGAAAAAGCGCCACTGCTGTAATATGCATTAAATAATTAGCCAACGCAGGGGCTGACCGTGCGAAGACGCGTTTTTTGCATAGTTTCCCGCAGCTTTTGTCGCTATCGGCATCGGTTTTTTTGGCAAATTCTTCTAGCTGAACAAATTAAGACTGGTCGCCAGAACTGGCAGGAAACAGCCCCTTAAAATTTCAGCTTTCTAGCTTTCCTGGCTCCTGAGTTATCACTTACTTGGACGGGGAATATCCCCTAAGATTTCAGCGTTCCAGCTTCTTAGATCCCCGAGTTTTGAACTTGCCCCAAAAAATTTTGGCGGGCCCGTACGCGGGTACCATGCGTGTGACGGCGCCAATTTTGAGGATTGGGGCCGGCACGTGCATGTAGATTAAGTTCCCGAAATTTCAGCCCAGCAGCTTTTATAGGTCTTAAAATGAAAGTGTGTGACAGACGCACAAACAGACACACAGACGCATAAGTACACGGAAACACAGACAAGCCCTCGTCAATATGTTTTTTTGCATTGCATAGCTGCAAAAAACGCATTAAAAAAATGGATTATGTGAAAAAAGAAAGGAAGAATGCAAAAAGAAAAATAGCAAGCGCACCAGAGCATCCGATGCGATCATGCGTTTTGTGCAATTTCGTCCACCGAAGGATTGCCTGCTAATGGTTTTCACTGCTCTGAATTTAAATTTGAGGGATTGCACGTGGACAGCGAACAGTCCTCGAAAATTTCAGCTTCCTAGCTTCCGTGGTTCCCGAGATAATAATATACCCAGCCAAAACTTTTACAGGGCTGTACGCGCTGCCCGCCGGTACGTGGGGGGGAGGGAGGGGTGTATTTAAATTTACTGGGCCACATATGAGTGTGGAGCACTACCACAAATTTTCAGCTTCCTGGCTTTTGTGGTTCCCGAGTTGAAAGTTGCGAATGAGTTGCTGCGGACACACACACACACACACACACACACACGCACACACACAC